ATTTGTACCTAACTTTTTGATTTTTTTTTATTAATTTGAATGTAATATTTTTTCACATTTAATTCCTCTTAATAGTTCCTTTTTATTGCCCTTTGTATAATCTGATCCCACTTTTTTGTCCACAACTGTACATATACTCATGCATATGCATTTGTATGCGTATGTGTGAGCACATTCTCCTGTTTAAATGAACATTAATATTTACACAGTAAGAAAATACGCGCTTGCGCATCCGCACTAATGCGTACGTGTTCGCCGAAACAAGCAGCCATTTAATTCTCTATAACATTATTCCAATTTTGTTTATGGCTCTTTGTGTGTTTCAATCTTCCCTTCATATGTACGTTCCCCTCATAAAAACTTATATTTCCGAAATGATTTCTAAATTATTTTATTATTCTTTCCAATTAATATTGGACTTAAGTGTGTGAGTGCGAGCATGCCTGTGGGTAAACAAGCGAGGTTTTATGTGTGTGCAGTGTTTTCATGCATACATATGTATGTATGTGTTGGTAATAAAGGCGGCATATGTACAAATATGCATTTATTTAAAAAATTTATATTTCTTTTCATGTATTTTATTGTGTACCCAGTTCCTTACACGCGCTTGCACACGAAAAATATACAATATGATTTTATCGGCTTGTATGTACATATGTGTGTGTGCGTGCATAGCAATAGGAGTTCCCGTATTAACGTAATTTGTGGATCGAATGTGTTGCAGACACACAGATATTTATTTGTTCATATCGCATTGTATATAATTTATGCGTTTCAAATTCTTTTACTTGACTCTTGATGTACATTCATTCGTAGAACCATTTTAGTATATACATACATATATGTATGTGTGCTTGTTGGTATACGTGTAAGCTGTAGATAGATAGTTATTTATTTCGTTTCATTTTATTCGTTTTTTTACATACATACATGCATACTTGTTTCATTAATATGCTTTTCGTGCATTCCCACCCCTTTCTCCTGCGTACCATGTGGTTTTCAAACTTTTACGCATTTACATTTTCTTTTCACATTTCGTTTTTTCGACATAACACATTCTATTCTCAAATTTCTTCACACTTGCAGGTGTTCTATACTCACAACTACATTTAAATATATTTTAGTAGCTTTATAAGTGTGTATGTATATGTGTGCGTGTATGTAAAATGGTAAGTTTTTATCATAAATTTATGCGAGTTTCTGTCCGTCGAACATTTCTATAAGTCCATAAGTTTTTATCGTACAAAAAGTATTCGCTGCTTACCCATGCCCGGCTTAATGTGCTAGTCGTTGGCACTCACCTTTGTTCTTGCCTATTTATATTTAGTGCTCTTGCGGTATATATTTTTTCTCTTTATTTAATTTTTATATATGTGCATATTTTTCTTTATTGCATTATTTTTTTCTTTTTATTTCGTATTTATTATGGCTCATTTTTCCCAAAATTTACCGTTCGAATTGCTGTTTGTCTTTTATTTGGCTTCATGATGGCAGCATTTTTATGTTGATTTCATAAATTCAACAACTAAATAATACATACAACAAACAATAAAAAACGTTCGACGTTCGACGTTCGCAACACGCTGCCACATCTGTCGTGTGCTTTAATGTGGCTAAACATTCAACGTTCGCCACTTTGTTGGCTGAGTTGGGTTGACTGTTGAGTGAGGTGCGGAGTGGCAAATGCGGAGTAGTATTTCGTATGGAAAGAGGTGTGCATATGAAAGTAAAGTATTGCACACACACATGCATATGAGCACATTTTTGTTTAGAGGAAATAAATGCATATTTAATAAAGAGTAGTTGACAGTTAGTCATGTGCAAATGCAAGGAAGTATGTACATAGGTATGTAAATATAGTATATACATATTCACATGTTTGTAGATGTTCTATTTAATGATTTTACTTGTTGCCAATAAAACAATGCCGTGCAACGAACTTTATAAAAATCAATCGCACTGCACTCCCCTCCACAACTTTGTTGCTGGTTGCAAGTAGCTTTGTGCATACATATATATCTCGGAAACTATAATTAGGATTAACTTGAAAATTTAGGACAATATTCTAGAGGTGTTGCAGAATTGAATAAGGTGATAAAAAATTGTTTTTTCAAACCCTTAAACCCATGTAACATTGGCGTTACTTTCATATTTTTTTGTAAAAATTTTATACAAATTTTTAAAAATGTTACCTGTGTCGTCATAAGAAATTCACCAAAATATGCCCGGTTTTTTAGAATTAACTTTACCCACTTTAAACCAGCCAAAAAATGAATTGAAGCTTAAAAACAAGAAAAAAACGTTAACTTCGGCTGTACCGAAGCTAATATATCCATACAGGTGCATTTTTTTTTAGTTACTATAGTAATCCGATAATTATTTCGGAGATTATATTATTACCTTAAACAGTAATCCATGTCAAATTTCGTGAAGATATCACGTCAAATGCGAAAGTTTTCCAACAAGCCCTTAATTCAGTTTATTCAGTTTATAGGGCAGCTATATCCTATAGTTAACCGATCTGAACAATTTTTTCGGATATTACATTGTTGCCTTAGAAAATAATCAGTGCTAACTTTTTTCAAGATACATTGTCAAATGTAGAGGTTTTCCCTACAGGAACTTGATTCCGATCGTTCAGTTTGTATGGCAGATATATGTCCGATATCGCTAGTTCCCACAAATGAGTTTCAAAACGATATCTTAAAAACTGAGGAACTAGTTCGTATATATACAGACAGACAGACAGACGGACGGAAAGACAGACGGACATGGCTAAATCGACTCAGCTCAACATACTGATCATTTATATACATACATATACATATACTTTATAGGGTCTTCGACGCTTTCTTCTGGGTGTTACAAACTTCGTGACAAACTTAATATACCTTGTTCGGGGCATAATTACAATAAAATACATACACACATAGGTATGAATATGTGAAAATACTTACGACAAATCGAGATGCATGTCTAAACTTAAGTAGACTTAGCCCACTTAATATAATAGATTGCCACAGTTATGTCTATACATATATTAATATTTCCGACATTCGCTTCTGCACTTACCAATTATTTTAAATGCACAAACATATACATACACAAATCTATATGCATATGGTTTAATTTAACTTCTTCTACATTTCTTGTGCTGCTCATGTTTTCCGTTTTAATGAATATGTAGATATGATACGTGCACACACACATACTTAAATAAATACATACGTGAATGTTTATGAATTATGCGCAACGTTGACGTCTGGAGCTGCATTTATTTATACGGTGTATAATTTTTTATTCAAACAAACAAATTGTAACTACTTTTTACACAGAAAATTTTACAAGTATTTGTGCACTACTACAAACATACATATGTTCGCACACACACACACATTGGCTTTTTCGTACATTTCGTGTTTTCCGTTCCCGTTAATTTTTTCTTCAAAATATTTATTGTCTAGCTTTTTGTTAAGCTCAATAAATTCAAATTTCCTTTCGGTTAATTATTCATACATGTGAGAGTATGTACATACACACATATGTATGGCTTTATGTGCCTATGCATGTGAATATGTTATACAATTGAAATTACGTAATTAAGTAAAGTATCTATTGAGTATAAGCCGTCGTTTCAAAAATATCGCACGCCATATTTTTTCTAAAGAAGAGGCACAAAATGTTAGGGAGGGTTAGACTCAGGCTGAACGATTGTGCCGCTCTTAATTAAATTTCTCTTATTCAAATTTAAGCAATAATAGTTTCATTAAGTTAACCAAATTATTGTCTGAGATCATTATGTCGGTTCCGGATCTTAATGCCCGTTCACATTTCGTATAATTTCCCCTGAGAGTTGTCATACGTCGTGATTCTGATTTTGAGTATTCTAGTGCTTATCAAATGAAGAGTATTAGATTTAAATTGCGTCTTATGGAAAATAGGCGTGGTTTCGTTTAAATTTTAGACAACTATTACCCGATAGTAAAATGGAATATTATATCTTTCACCCTTTTTTTTACAAGGATAAATATTGCAAACAATTACTGAGACGTTGCGATCGTTCCTATGACAGGGTGTCATGTTTCGCAATTCGACCTAAGCTTCAAAAGACTCGTGTATAGGTTTTATTATCTGAAATTTTATGTTCAACGGTAATGAAACCGTTATTTTTCGTCGTTATGTGGCAAGGGATGAAAACGATTTCATATTTTACTCCGAACTCCAATCCATTGACAGCCGAACAGGCAACACGTGCTGACTGCAATCCAAAAAGTGTCGGTCGGCTGATAAAGTTATTTTGATGATAAGAAATAAGTTTCATTGATTATAACGATTTTTGTTTTAATAAGAGCGCTACAAAATTAAATAAAACAAAAACAGCTTGCGATATTAATAAAATACTTGATTCCTGTGAAAATACATTCGATCCCAGTATGTATAGAACTCGATTCCTTTTGCATGACTACCACGGCACGCTTGCAGAAGTCCAGACGCTGAACCCAATTCATACGCATAAATTTGCCGATACTGCTGCAATTACACCTTCGATATTCATACGAAGTGCATCAGAAAAATAGACTTGATGTAGCCCTATAGGAAACAGTCTAACGGCGTCAAATCGCACGACCGACGCGGTTAATAGACTGGGACATTTCGTGAGATAACGCGTTGACCAAACTGGGTTTCCTACTAAATCGATGGTGCCCGTCGGTGTGTGGCTTGTGGCGCCGTCCTGTTGGAACCGCATATTGTCCAAGTCCATTTTGTCCAATATTCAGTGTCATCATTGAAAGGTAGCCATTCCCATTCACAGCAATGTGCCGATTTGATCATCACGGAAGAAGTACCATAAACCATACCAACCCGTAATTTTTTCGGGATGCATTGGTGACTCATAGAGTTCGTGTGGATTGCTGCCTGAGCAATAACGTATAATTAATCTATATTCATGAACGATTCTGGTGACCACGCGTCTTCAGTTCTTGCGTCAATTTGATCTTGTTAGGATTTAGACCAAGATCTTTTAGCAACATTTTCCACAACGTCGTAATGGAATGCTTGAGAACGACGTGTGCGAGACTGATTTGGGTCTTCCTCGACACCACGGGCACTTCTTTGTCTCACTGGCTCGGGCACATTTTGAACTGTGCCTGTGGATTCAAATTTTTCCACTAAACGCTCAATTGTTGATCTGGCAGGACGATTACCATAAACTGCACGTAACGCTCTTAAAGTTGAGTCCATTGACTCCGAAATTCGGTAGTAATTTTTAATAATTTCAACTCGTTGGATCGTATATCTTTTCATGACGAAAACCTTGTTGTCTTTATCGGTCTACTTTTGCAGTGCCCTTTTGAAGAACCCTTTACAAAAACAGTAACACCAAAGTTGGAAGATCACTCTCGATATCAAAAATTTTGCAAAAAAATGTTTTTTATGTTGGATTATTAGCAAAATAAATACATATGTACGGTACACTAACAAATAATCTCATTAAATCAAAAGTAGAACTTGCTATGCTATGCTAATTAGTTCGTATGTTAGTAAGCAAACGATAATTTACACGATTTCTGTAAACATCTGGTTAAGGCTATAACTGCGACTTCTTTGCTTACGATTTTTGGGATCGCGGAGTCATTATTTCTTATTTTTGTACATACATATATATTTATAAATATTTTATAGTTAAGACTTTTGAAAGGACTTATTCGACATAAATTTTTGAGGGTGTTTGATTCGATAAGTTTTTTTAATTTTTGAGATATTTCCCTTACACACTCCCGTACTTTCATTGCAGATCGAAAAAGGCGACACCCTACCGCAACAGGTGTGTGTGACATGTGCCAAAAATGCAATATCCGCATGTCTCTTCAAGAAGAAGTGCGAAGATGCTGACAATTTCTTTCGCCAGCAATTGCTCATACAAAAGTTCGAGAATCGCACGTCCACTGGCAGCAATGCGGCGTCCGCGCAACCGGAAGTTGACTCCACAGATCAAGTGCCCGAAGTGGCCGCTATGGAGAGTTATGGTGGCAGCGACGGCGAGGAACCACACGACCAGACGCATATCAGCGCCAGCGGACACTCGAATGGCTTAATGATCGAAGAGGACGATGGTGAAATAAAGTTTCCGTATGCCAAACAACCGTTCGACTTTCATTCCATACGACTAATGCACGAGTACATGCAACAGCAGTTGAGCAAGATTAACGGTTCGCATAAGAGCGCCGGAGCTGACAATAGCGGTGCGAATTCGGATGCCGCTGCTGATGACGATGAAGAGGATCCACTACCGCTGATGCCCGAAGTGCAACTACTAACACCAAACGATGAAGTGGCGGTCGTCGGTGGCGGTAATAACAACAACAACATACCTGCTTACGGTGGCGTTGAACAGCCGGCGTTGCGCGGCTACCAGTGTCCGGACTGTTACCAAATTTTTGAAATGAAACAGATACTCAAGGCGCACATGCAGAGCGTACACGGCACACAGGGTCCCGTTTATGAGTGCACGAATTGCAAGAAGACATATTTCTACAAGCGATTCCTCGAGAAGCATGTGCGGCGCGGACGTTGTGTCAAGAAGCGACGCAATCAAACGTTAGTGTTGTTGTTGTTGTTCGAGACTATAGCCAGATAACTTGAAGACTAATATTGAAAACTTCTCTTTACCTTAGGCGTCCGATGCAGTGCTCCGATTGTCACGTGCTATTCCCTACCGGACACCATTTGGGGTGGCATAAACGCACAGGTTGTCCGTCGCGGGCCGCAAAAATGTGCGTAAAAATCAATGTTTTTCTTTAGATTGACGGAAATAATTCTTTCAATGTGTTTACAGGCCATTACAACAACTGTTGAAGCAGAACATCGTCGAGTACAACAACTTTCCGAAACGTGTTGGCATACGTAAGCCCGAGAATGCGCTCTATCTGCATAATAGGAAGTGAGTGCTATTTTTAAGACACACACACATAAAAACTTGACAGAAACATAACCTAAAATTATTTACCTTTCTTATAGACTTCATATTGCCAATAATAAACGCAAAGGACGCACTCGCATCAAATTGGATTCGAAGAAAATTGCACTGGCAAAGCAGCTTATTCTGCGGGAAGCCACCACTACCGTTATAGCCAACGAGTTGAATATTTCGCGCACTTTTGCTTGGCGTCTTCGCAAGAGTCTGGTGAACGGGGTCAGCCTGCATGAACGTGTCATCGACAACAATGGCGAGGAGTGCGACGAAACGGCAGCTCAGCCGATGGTAGCCGACAGCACTGAGGAGCTACCACGGTTATATCCCTTAGCACAACCGTTAGAACAGTTCGCGCAAATGCAACGCATGGTGAAGCAGGAGAAGTCCGAGAGCGATGATGAATCCGAGGAAGGCGAAGGCGGAGAGGAAAGAGATTCTAGGCGTGGAAACGAAACCGCTGAAGCCAAGCAGCAAGAAAATAACGAAGCACATGCTCGAGCGTTGGAGGTCCCGCGCGAACAATTGCAACACGAACAGTATGCAGCTGCAGCGGAGAAGCAACAGTTGCAGGCTGAAGAGTCAGCGTTAACTGCTAAGCTGATGGAACAACAGTTATTACAATTACAACAACAACAACAACAACAGCAACAGCAAAGTCTGAACAATGCGAATAATGCGGAGGGCGATGATGATAATGATGACGATTCTGACAGTGACTCCGATGATTCGGATGACGATGACGACGACGACGATGACGATGACGATGATGATGACGACGAAGAAGATGAAGATAACAAAAATTGCGACGACGGTGAAGAGACTGATAATTCTGTAGAAAAAAGCGATGATGCCAAGAAGACGGAACAAGATCAAGCACAAAAATTACAAATACAACAACGTGAACTAGAACAAAACTACCAGCTCCAGCAGCATCTACAACACCCACAAAGTGTAATACAAACAAATGCAGCACTTCCACAATCGCTATTGGAGGGTACCGTGGCACCGGGGCTTATAACACCGAAGGACTTGAATGGACTGCGTCAACAGTTGTCGAATCACAGTAAGGAGAGTGTAGCTCAGTCAGTGATTACGCAATTTCCATCCGCAGCCGCCACCAATGTGTAAGTATTTCACAAAAAATTGATATGAATAATCGAAAACCTATTTTCGTTGGCTCAGAATGATTGAAGCCAGACTTTGTCCAGGAATTTTGAAATCCCTCTGCTGCCGCCAATCTTTTTTAATTAGAACCTTTAAGAAAGTTGGTGGAAAAATTCTAAGTTTGTTTTCCCATTACCTTTCAGTCACCAACTCCCAGTGAATCTATCAATTCGCACCCCGCAAGGCGCGCAAAACAACGAATCACCAAACAAGTAAGTAAAGTACCCCATATTTTATCGCAACATCTACTAAAAACAATAAATTTCTTTTAATCTAGGGAGACTCCAACCCCTGCCACAACAGGTCAGACAAAGAAACCGCGTAAACCGAACGTTTTCATTGACGACGAGAAATATGCGATGGCCAAGACGTTGGTCGCGCAGAATGCATCCACCATGGAGATAGCACGCGCACTGAATGTCTCACAAATGACCGCTTGGAAGGTACGCGATGCCATTGTTAAAGGATTGCCGTTGTCATATCGCAACAAGAGAGATGGTCGCAGTGCCTCAAATGGGTCGAGTGTTTGTGGTGAAGCGACTGGCGGTGCTGTTACGGATAGTATTGAGTCACAGATGGCACATCAGTTGCTCTTGCAACAGCAGCTGCAACAAGAGCAGTACCGACAAGAACAGCTACAGATACAACAACAACACCAGCAACAGCAGCAACAAAAACGTTTACAGCAACAACAGCAAGAGCGTTTGCGTTTGCTGCAACGCCAACAGCAACAACTAAAAGCACAACAACATTTGCAGAAGCAACAACTACAGCAGCAGCAACAGCAGCTACAAGAGCAACAACAGCTTGCACAACAACAACAATTAATTGACGGACAACATTACGCCACATCACAACCATCCGCCTCGCCGCCGCAATACGAGCAACCGGCCACCAGTACCACCACTGCACCCGGACCGGTGAAGTTCGTACATCCGCGACGTCGTTTAAAGGCAGCCGAGCGCGAGCAACGCGACAAAGAAATAACACGTGAGATACTCGAACTCATACGCGAAGACAGCAACATACAGTATTGGAAGGTGTCGGCACGCCTTGCTGAGAAAGGCTTCCCCATTTCACCATCTTCGGTCTGTCAGAAGCTCAAATCGATGGGCATACATCGGCGTTGGAAGCCCGGCGACAAGCCACCCATGATGGTGGACATGGATCAGTTGAAGGCGGCAAGTGCCATAGCCGGTAATTTGGTGCCGCCACCAAATGCGGCCGAAGAGGGCTACGAACAACAGTTCGATATGGGTGGCGCACACTTTCTTAGTGCCTTTACGCGATGAACAAAGCAGTACAGTGTGAAAAAGTAGAGACTTGCGGCGTCTGGTGAGCGTAAGCTCACACATTTATTAAAACAATATTCAACCAAGATCAAAGTTAAGAACAAGGAATGCGTATTATATAATATATATTGTTTTACTTTTATATACATACATATATACGTATATAGGAACAGTATCTTTCGAGGTAATCACATGTAATAAGACAGTAGTTATAATCTAGTTACATAAAGCAGTCGCATGCAGGCAAAAAGTATTCAAGTTCTAATTAGTGTTATGTAAAGGGACACATTATAGTTAATAATAAAAGTATTTGAGCATAAAGTGTTAAGAAGAAAAGTGTAAAATGTATAACAATGTCTATGCAGAAGTAAAGTTACAGTATTTGAAAAAAAAACTGCTGTTGGACGCATCATTCCAGTTTAACTTTTGCTTTAAAATTTAGCATACATACATATCCACATTTAATTAATTACTGAACAAGTATTAAACTTGAAAAAATTTGAGAAAAGTCATTAAATGGCGTAAAAAGACAGCTTCCATTTTTATATACACTCACATAATTAATTTTTAGTACGCACAAAATGATTTCTTTCTCGCACATAAGCAGCTACATATGTATTTATTTTATGTTTAAAACACTATACTATACGTTAATATATTTTGAAGTTGTACGGAGGCATATATGAAAGACTAGCTTGAACAAAATATTAGAAGACTCTAGCACGTAATAGCTATTTATAGACACACAAATACATATATTTTGCTATTTGCATAAGTTGAAAAACGATCCATTTATTTTTTAGTTTAAGTTCAAAGCTTTTGTTGGCAGAATTTCGAACTACGTGTTACGAAAACTCGTTAAAAATTATTTAACCTTTTAATATGCATAAAATCAGAGATATTAGTTTGCTGAGATACTAAAATAGAATTCATTTTACTAAAATCTTCAGCAATCACAACAAATAAATGAGTTTTACAAATAACAAAACTTTCAGTTAGCTTGTGGCACATAAAATTGTTTGAGACTACAATAAGTACAATATACGTATATAGCATAATTAGATATTAATGCACAACTGGATTTTAATTTAATTTTTTTTTCAATTGTAAATTTTTACAATTTTTTTTAGGCTTCCAATATGCAAATCATAGTTTTTCATATTTCCAGTATTTTTTTTTTAAACCAACGCATATGTTTGTGGCAACGCACTGAAATATTCCAAATGAGTTCCTTTGTATTTTATTTACTTGCACCGTGCATTGCATCAGTGCAGACATCCGTCCGAGTTTTTGTTTGACACTAAAATGTTGCTGCGCATGCGTAGTATTCCGTTAGGCAACCAAAAAAGACAAACAAATTGTTATTATTACAAAGAAATTGAATATTTTGCGCAAATTTATTGTGTGTTTTGGAAAAAAAATCATAAAATGTTATGAGAGATAATTGCTCCGCATACGAGGCTACCAAGAAAGCATAATGCAACCTTTGCGGTTATAGACTAAATATAAAGCCTACGGTATTATATACATACATATATATATGTATTATATTTAAATGTACTAATTTAGTTGAACTCACACTAGCGTATTAATAGCAGTAAATTGCTAGTAAAAACAAAATATCAAAAACGTATGTTACAATATTCATACATAATTACATACAATATATAGTAGCAACAACTAACAACAATAGTTATGCAATGTTAATCAGTGCGAAATAAGCCTTAAAGTGCAATTAATGGAAAACTCACACACACACACTTAAGATCATGTATGAACATGTCCAACTTGTTGAGTCAAACGAATCAAATCGTTGAGAAATAATATCGAAAAACTGCAGCTCAGTTGTAACCAAGCTTACAAGCACCTACACACATATGTATAAAGTAATAAATAATTGTGTTGAAAAACAAAAGTTTTAGCGAAAGTATTAGTTATAAACATACACATAATATGTATTAAACAGAACAAGAGTATAAAGGCTTATATATAGTGTTAAGCATTAATTGTTAAACATATATATATATATATTGAAATACATACACAATAATACATACATACGTGCTGAGAAATATGAAACTTACATATGCATGTAAGTAATCAATTTGAGATGAATGAACTTATTTATTAACGTAAAGCAAAATACCTACATATATACATATGTACATGCAACTGTATGCAAAGGTAGATAAACTTATTAATTGAAAAAACGGCAGCCATTTACTAAAAAAAACGCACGTTTGCCTAAACCAGCCTTAGCTTTATTTTATTTAATTTTTATTCAAAAAAATCACTGTTTTTTAATGTTTGCTTACTGCATCACACAGTAGTTAATGTTAAAAATTATTATTATTTTTTTTACTTTCAACATGATTCAATTATATAATAAAAGCTTGAGTCGATCATAATTTATCAAAAGTCAGCCGTTTTTTTAGCTTTTATGTTTCAAAAACAAGTTTTTCGAAAATTTCAACCAATGAAAATGTGTTTTTTGGGTGATAACTGAATACGAATAGATTGTTTAATACATAAAATCATTAAAATTTAAACAAGAAATTCATATGAATAAAAATACTGCTTTTTTCATAGTATGGATTACAATTTTTTTTCGCAAGTAACACAAACTATATGATTGGATTTTTGATGCAAAGCTAAAATATATTCAAAATTTTTCTCTGTGTGCACTTTTTTTTGGAATTTTAATTCAACTAAATTAGTTTACAAAATTAAGCAATGAATTGCTGTACGCTCGATAGACATATGCAACAATTGCTGATTAATTTTTATTTAGTTGTTTAACGTACATAAACACTGACATTTATTTTTTTGCGAACAGTGTAATTGTAATAATTTCTTTTACTTCATTTTTAAAGAAAAAGAAGGTGTAAAATGTATACATACATACATTTAGTGTGGCCCTACATGTATAAATACATGCAACATATAGTTTTATAAGCCAAGCTAATGCAACAAAGCAAGCAAGTGAATGTAGAGTTAATTTACAAATGTATTACATATTATATAAATAATACATATATATATACATACATATGTATATATATAAATATATGATTGTAATGACAATGTACACAGTTAAGCAGTTGCACGATTATTTATGTACAAAACCGAGTAGATTGATCAGCATGATATGTTAAGTACTAAGCACTTTCCTACATACCTACATACATATGTACATCCATAGTAAACAATATACCTAGAAACAGTTTTACCATACAGTGTTGTGCCTGAATGTACGATTTTTAAACAGAGTGCACATTTAAATGTTGCAATTGGTTATAAATTAGGTATTTTTTAAGCATAATAAAGGGATAGTTGAATTAACGAGGCCACTACAACAATAACACCAATAACATATACCGGATTGTTTAATGACCGAATGAATATTCGTATTTTGTTAAGAAGCAAATTGATACATGCATACATACATACATACATCTATTGTTATAAACATTCCATACTTATAAAAATAAAGATATATGAATATATTTCCTTGTATTGGAACTGAATGTGTATTATTTAGGTCGTTTCATTTTAGCTTTTAGAAGAAAATTTCGTTGTTGTTGTCGTTGTAGGGGAAGAATTCTACCGTTACCACGACAGGCATACCTACGTAACTGGAACAGACCTGGATTTTTATCCCGTCAAGTACTGTCAACTCTGGAAAATTTCTTCCGCAACGGCTAAATTTCATCAAGATATCTCGTCAAAAACGTTAAAACAAGATCTTGATTTTGAACATTTAGTTTATATGGCAGTTATTTTTCCAACCAACCCTCACTGCGAATCAATAAAACAAATTGTTAATGTAGTATTGGAATATCGGTTTCTATTATCACTTAAAATATTACAAAAAAATAAATATCGCAAATTAGAATGTGTTGTTTCGTATTCGAAAGAACTATGAACTGCTTAAAAAGAAACACAAAAATAGTATGTGTAGTGTAAAATTTTTTTTGAACTTTTCAAACTACATTTCAGGCTCTTGCCCAAGGTGTGCTTTTTGTTGGCCTTCAGTCCACGCTTTAGCGATCATTTGTTTAGTTTTCGAATCGCCGCTGTTGTACATCTTCTTCATTATATTTACGAGCGCATTTTCTGGGTTCCCATCATCTGAGCTTTTTAATTCGTCATCTAATTTTTGCTTCAGACGCTTTTGTATGGTGGTTAAGTGATCCCAGTGCTTGCCTTCATTGTTTTTCTTCATATAAATGGCCACCATACCTTGTTTCACTTTGCGATAGCTTTTCTCCACATTGATGCTATCGAGCAAGTTATTGATAGTCAATCCGTAATCTTTGCCATTCAGATCGCTAACATGCAAAACCATTGAATTTTCATTGAAAGTGGCGACAACGTTCGATTCGTCAATGTTTTGGACACCTTCCAACGTGACGAACAACTTTACAAACTTGTCACTTTGATCCCATGCATACTCATTCAATTCGATCAAATACCTGTGGTGGGGTGGATATAAGAAAAAGGTGATAAATAACATATGCGCATTTAGTATGTACTTTGTTCTAGGTTAACATATAGTGTGGCGGGTAGATGTTTCTAGAAGCGCATAGGAAATGTGTTTACCTTCTTGGCGTTGCTCCGACTACCTTTTTTTCTGCGGCAATTCGCTGTTTCATTTCTAAATTGACAATTTCCTTCTCAACCTCCGCTTTTGCTTGTAGCAAAACATTTCGCACTCTTGGACGTGTGGCTTCGCCAAGAAATCTACTTAATTCTCCTGCGTCTTGTAATAACTGTAGGAACACATGTACCTTGTAATATATGCAAATGTTTATAAATTAAACAGCTCACCTCTTCGAAAGACATTTTGAATGTGGATTTATTATTACTTTATAATAACAGCAATAATATTTTAATTTTTTAATTAGGATCTAGCAATAGTTGTATTTGTTTTAACCACTCTTTTTGATAATGCCGAAAAATGTGTGAACTTGAAATAGGGTAACCAAAAGCAATTGAATGATCACAGTGCTTTTAAAACTGTACTCTGCAGGTATGCCACATTTCTCGAAATTGTCATCATTTTGTATACATTTTTTTCAATAAATATCGATAATTTCCTTCTAGAAAAAATTATGTTTTTTAGACACGGTTGTCATATGTCTCTTATATCATTGCAACATTGGAACCATATATAGCACTTTTTGCGATAGCTTATTGCTTAAAAAGTCTTTGAGTGTAGCGAATATGTATATCGATTGAAATCGATTTGAGAATATTTCTGATCCGAAAATATTTCTTTCACAGATTCGTCGCTAGTTGGTATCATGTAACATTTAAAAATGGTATAAATAAGGAACTTAAAACTTACACAATGCAATTATAAAGCGTAAAAAAATTCTACAAAACAGACATTTGGAAGCCAGTGTTATAATATACGTGTGATCAGCTGTTGTCCATCAAGTTCAATGCTGCCACAAGTAACTAATTAAATTAGTTGATGTAACTGATATACAACTTTTGGTTGCATTTTTCGTGAGCAGAACAACTTATATTAACTGTTTTGGTGTATATTTTAGCACTGTATTATAGAGTTTAACATACACATTAATTTTAAGAAAATACCCACTACCCATAACACCCCATATGAGAACTCCCTCTTTTATGAGCAACGGGGATTTTTGTGTGCGCCGGCAACATTGCTGTCTGCCTAGACTTGCCGCAGCAGCGACGCGGCCTCATGTTGATCTTTGAATTTGCGTTTGAATATAACAAATGCGCTCGTCGTCGCGATTGTTAAACGTGATAGTGCGTCGCGAGGTTTCCGTCTTCGTCTCCGTTTGCGGTGTTTTGCATTTAAGTTTTGCGCCTGCCTTGACGTTTCGTTAACTAACTGGTGTTTTAAATAAAATTTGATTTCAAGACGGTTTAAGGAGTTTTATAAAACTGCCTTGCAAATTGATTTCGTTGTGATTTCTCAAGTGGATTTACCAGCGGTCACTCTGTGTGAAGTACGCAAAATTAAACGCTATACAATTTTAAAATTAATCACAAGAAATTGTATGAGTACGAATAGTGTTTAAATCAAGTGAAATAAATATTTCTTGCGAAAATTTGCAAAGATTTTTTTTGTTCATTCAAACTTTTGCGGAAACGGAAAGTGTTTTTCAGCGCAACAACAACGCGCACACACATACATAGGCAGGCTGGCAGACAGCGCCTGAAAGTGATAAAGGAAACGGAGGAAGAGAAAAGGTTTGTCAAAACAAAAATTACAATAATGATGTGCTTATTAATTAACACGTTTGCACATGCATACACATGCATACTGTTTGTAGGCACGAGTGTGCAGTAACTCGTTCTCTCGCTTAATTTGCTAACATTTCTTATCAAGAGTGTGTTTTTGTCGCCATTCTGTAGCTTATTGGAAAAGGGAATGAGTGCACGAGCAAAGACAAAACAACAACAGCGATTAGAATGGTTCTGTTCGGCGTTCAAAAATTAATCATGTTTTCTGTTAGTGTGTCATTGTCGCTGTTTATAGTATTATTTTCATATTTCTTGCTGAACGCATATAAAACACTATAATTTTTAGGAACTATGTGACTTATGTATTAAGCAAAAAATTATATAATAAAAATTACTGACGATTACGCTTAGGCAGCGTTTGACATTAGAGGTTGTAAAATTCATATGCCTTACAAAGCGATGATTTATTTACTGTGCATTAAAAAAGTGTGTTGCTTGACATGAATTTTTAGAAATCTCAGGATTTTTATATTTGTAGCAATATTAAAAAAGGAGATTTAGAGACGATTTGTGATGAGCTGGTCAGTTTTAAGTATTTTAAAAATAAAGTTAAAGAAGTCAAGCAAATTTTTTAATTTAAATTGTTAGTTTTTGAAAATAATAGTAATTAAACAGACATAAAGGTTTTTTTTTAATGTACATATGTACATGTGCGCATATTTTAAATTTTTTAAAAAATTATTTTACCAAAAAAACAGATCATGTGAGATTGGAAAAATGTTTAATATTCATTTTGAATCTTTTTAAAAGTTTTTTTATGTTTTTATTTTTTATTTATACATTTATTTATACGTTGTTCCGCAAGACACGGCATACTGGAAACTCTTCTTTATCATTTGATGACCCTATGTTTAAATGCCTTTTTGGGAAGTATAGCCTCGGTTCCCAATTTGCCGGAAAATACATATGTATCTTATTTAGAGAGTGGCTATATTCGATTAGTTTGGTAGGGAATTTGTGAGACAAAAAAAAAAAAACAATTTTTCATACTCAAATGGCTAATAATTAAAAGGTTTATAAACACTACTTGCAGTTAAAAAAAATTTTATGATTTTTTAGACATGGGATTCTGTTAAAACAAAAACTATGGAAATGTTGTTTCCCTAATACGCACTTTGAAAGTGCACCTTGCGAATTTCCTGTTGAAAAGGTTAATGTGGAAGCCTAAATCACCAACTAAAAGGTAAACGCTAACACCATACACACTGTTGTAGTATGAACCACCCCTCGATGCATGCGCATTGCGTACGCGCGTTCTCTTTTGCAGACCATAAAACGAAAATCTCCAAAACGCGCCCTATGACAGCTGTCAACCCCACAAATCAGCTGAGCTTGTTTACCGTGCCAAATACATTTGTGAGCAGTAGCAGCAGCTGGCGCAGAGGCGCTCACGGCCAGCCTTGTAGAGATTCAATCGAGGCCGTCACTTTGCCGAATCGCTCGCATTCCTTGTGTGCCCATACAATTATCAGTGCTTTCCTTTATGCTTATGGTTTGCCTACCTTTAGAAAAGTAAAAAAACAACAACAACAATCAGAGAACGACCACCGCTAGATTAAAGACGACTGCAGCACTTTTGCTGGAGAGTTTGCAATATTCTGCGGTGCGATAAAGATGTGCACGGAAGTTTCGTTGATAATTTTCGGTTTTTTGTGCCACCATAAGCGCTAGTGTATTTCTCGTTATTGCTGAATCTTTGCTTACACGTAAACTCATACAACTTTCCTGAATAGTGCGTACATTTTCTCCGTCGCAACCGCAGTTTTGCTAAATGCTTCCGTTCGTTTTGTGATTCCATTGTTATTATTGTTGTGGAAAATCTATTGATTCTGAAAATGCTTTAAAGTACGCCGCTCGGTTAGTTGTGATTGAAAAGTGCAGTGCTTGGAAAATTTAGTGTTTATGAAATACATACATATTTACATGTTAGAGAGAAGTGTGTAAGAATGTGAGTAGAAATTCCTGTCAATGCTTTGCTTTGAATTATCACAAATATTTCTACATATTTGCATATGTACTATGTGTGTTTAACAAAGAATATATTTTTTAATAATTTGTGCGAAATAGTTCGACCAGTTTGCGGCTTGGGGAATGCTTTCACAGACCTATGGTATGTACATATGTAAATACAAATAATGTATTAAAATGCAAGTATTGTAGGCATACATATGGATGCATGAATGTGGTGTATGTGTGAACAAGTAAAGAAGGCAATTTGTCACAAGTTATAGATGGGCTTATCACGCCAATACTTTGTGTAGTGTTCCTAGTATTTATGTAAATAATATACACATATGCACATACATATAATATATAGTACAAATGGCAGAAGATAGCGTAAAGTCTGTTTCGTGCGTCATATAGGGGTCGGGGGACGTCTCCGACTGCGGCGAAAAAGTGTCTGGCAACTGTCAATTGGTTTTTATCGCTACTGTTTGGCACCGAAAAGTAGCAAAAAGTCGGTAAAGAAGAAGTTTATTGATATAATAATCATGTGTGTATATTCGTATTGTCATTATCATCATCATTTAACGTAATATCTACGACACAGCTGTAAGCCTTAAATTGTATACAAATAAAAAAATTAAATAATTTCAGTTAAAAACCTGTTATAAAAACAATTTGATAAAAATATTAAGATATGTATATATATGTACATATGTATATTAAAATATAAAGAAATAATTGTAATTATTGGGTAACTAATCATCCAAAATGGTATTAAATAGTTTGTCTCATCCTTATTAAAGGACAATTAATGAATTAAGTTAATAGACGGGCGTGTCTGCTTACAACTTATTACTTTTCAATTGGTAAATATGCGAAGACAGCTCTGTTCGTGAAAATATTATTGCTAGTTCTAACTATGAAACAAAAAAATTATGTTTAAAATAAAAACTACATGTTTCTACGTACATATATACATACATATGTATATAAATTGTATTTCTGCTTACTTGTATACACATACCTATGTATGTATTGTAATATGTATGTATGTATATAAACATTTTAGAAAAAAATTCATTGAAAAGTTATTTCGAAAAATGTTATTTTGTGCGAATTTTTTTTTCTTGACAAAAAAATCAATTGATTATTGTTTTCTTAAAGAGTGAAAAAATAATTTCGAATTTTCGAAAAATCGACTTGAAAATTTTAGGCGACCTTCTTAAATAAACATATTTTTCAGATAACGATCGAAGGAACAAGATTTTATATCATAATTTCGAGTTTTTAGTCTAACTTTTCATCAAATCTTGAAGATAAGTATTTTTGGCTTGCTATCGGTTCCTGAATCTCTTCTATATTTTTGTATAAACTTATTCGGATCGAGTGCATTCGGCTGCTCCATACTTTCATACTATATACCTTTATACTGTGCAACACTATTTGTACTGACATCATCGAAAAATGTGTTTTGCTTAATATCAGGCATGATTCATGCGAGTAGGGCCGTAAAATTCGCAGATAAAAAGTAAATACAAATATATACATACATATGTATATATTCGTAAGTATGTAAACATGAGACCATATGATATTAGTTCTCGCACAGAATATACCATGCAAACATATGTTTATCTATGTATTCGTGCGTGCATATTTTATGCATTAATATGTATGTACAATCATATATACATACATACGTACATATTCATTATTTGAMATCGATTTGTCATGCCACCACGTCCGTCGGTTCTTGCTACAAACTTTGTTTTCTAAAAAGAACAACAATGTCAAACAAAACACAAGAGTTTCTTTGTCGGCGCTCCCGAAGAGGTGTCGGAGACCAAAGGAACTCCCGTCGAAAACAATAACGACATGAAATTTTACCACAGTTGCACTGTTGAGTCATTTCCACGAAAAGCCGAAAACATTCATGCATATGTACGTGTGTACTTCTGTACTATTGTATAGCTTTGGTCGTGCCACGGCTGTCGTTTCCAGGTTTCACGTTCTGTTTTCCACGTGTGCGCACTTTTCACATTCAATCGCATGTCTGCAGAATAAATAATTCCCTAATGACTAAAAGGAGTTGAGAGTTTGAATTGCGGCGGTCATTGATTTTTCCAAAACCATTTACGGATAGGGTCGTAATACTTATGTATGTGTGTGTATTTACATGAGGAAGCGTGTGAAGAGCTAGGCTTTATTAGAAACGGTAGTTATAATACATAGACAATCGCAATAAGGAAGCGATTGAGAAGGCTGCTTTGAAGGGCTGGACAGTTAGTACTTAATGACGGTGCGCTTTCATGTTTATGAGAGCTGATATTGATTTAAGGTTAGTCAAGAACTTTTTGTTGTTGTTGAGTTGACAGTTCTTGACCGAGCAAAAAATCCGGGTCCGTTCTGGTTACGTAGACCCGACTGTCGCGGGAACGCCATGGACTTTTTATGGTCGTGTGGCTGAAATGAAACACTATACGAGTCCAAGTTTTTACGTCATCGACACATCGGGTGATGAACATGAACTAAGTAAGAAGAGGATCTGATGATTCCTTTCATGAAATATTTCCACCAACAGATTTTGCGAGTGTTTTCTAGAGCATGGTATTCTTTGGAACGAAACCAGAAAACTACAATTGAGAACACAAAAACTTTTTACGAACGGAAGCATGACAAATTTAAAGGAATTGTGTTCCAGCGATTGATGATATTAATATAAATTGCATCGAAAAACTAAGGTTCCAATATTTTAGAATACAATATCTCAATTTTAGAAAAATTACATATATATGTATGTATATCTCTACAATGAATATACGATGAGATGAGTATATTACTCCCCCACTGGCAATGAATGCAGTTTAGCCTAAGATAAATTATCTCCCATTGCCAAGTTCAACGCCTGCACGCAATACGCATACATACATATGTATACCATATATTCTCAAGCAATCTATTATTACTGCACTACGTGTCGTGGTCTCCTCGAAGACTGAGCGTAGTTTTCTTTGTTTATTGATATGAAAATTTCGGAAAAATCGCTGGAATTCGTATTGCTGAATGGATTTTTCAATTACTTCAGCAATCGGAAACAAAGAAAATGCATGCGCTCATAAAGAAAAACTGACTAATCAACAATGAATTTGCCACGTAATTTTGTTGCTTTCCCCTCCAAATTCTTAGTCATGGCATCATCTTTGATTACAAGAAGCACTCGAAGCATTGAGTTCCAACACTTTCATGACCAACCGCGTTGGTCGCCGCCAGCCAGTCATAAATACATAAATAAAGTAAATTGTATCATAAAAAAGTTTCAGACAAACGGACACAGTGGCAGTCAATTAATTAGAACACACAAGGCCATTGTTGCTGCTATTAAAAGAAATAAAAACGAAATTGGAGACACAAAGGAAAATTTAATAAAAAATTAAAAAAAATAATAATGAAGTAGGAAAGCTGGAAAACCGCATGTCAAACAATAAATTGTCCACAAATGGCTTAATTGTCATTGCCAGCCACAGTTGCAGATTCTATGGTAAGACATGTGCGTTTGCCTGATAAAGTGAAAAAAAACTCACCACTGTTTGACATCTTATTTTAGTGGTACGTAAAACAGACGCCTATTATTTGACATTTATTGTCACGCCAAAAATCTGTTGACTCGGCGAAATGTTCCACATATGTATGTATGTATGTTCTTTTATGAGTTGGGCTAACGAGTGTTTAAGTGGCGTCTGCGGTCTTCCACATACTCACAGAAGTGTAAGTATGAGTGCTGTTATTATTTCAATCGGCATGTTGCCACATTGTTCAAACAAATAATTTATCTTCGAATAGGCCTTCGCATGCGTAACAATTGCACAACTTTATGTTTTCATTAACTTTGTCAACCGCTCGCTCTGGCATTTGTTGAGGAATGTAGTTTTCAAAACCTAAATACCGCGGTATTATGGGGATTGCACGGTGGGGTGCGCGTCAGCGGTGAAATTCGGGCATTTTGCCATTTTTCAACAATTTGCATCCGAAATTCTTGACCTACAACACTGTGATACGTCATTTTGTTTATTTTCGTTTTTTTAGAGAGAGATTGTGGGTGGGTGTGGAATTTCACACACACACATATTCAGGCGCACACTCATTTATTTGCCGGCGCTGACATTTGTTTGCGTTCATCAAAAGCGACGTTGCTATGCGCTACTCAGCAAAATGTCCACACAGAATATGATTCATACGGAAATAATATAATATATAGGTCGGCCACTGGTATGATTGCTTTGAGTCAGTGCCATTAAATTCAAATTAAATTAGTTGTGCTCAGAGTTAATTTAGTGGTTTGGTTGGAGAGGGCGTAGAATATTTGTGTTTGTATAATATTTATGTTTTAATTTAACACCAAAAGCAGCACATAATTTTTGGAAATTATTCGATTGCAACTTCTATTCTTCGTCAACCTAATCGCAGTTTAATTTAAGAATATTTTGTTAAGTAGTTTCCAACATGTTGTGATAGTTCCGTCTCAATTAATTCTCTTATAATAACGAAAAAGACGCAAATATAGTTTGGTAGGCCAATAAGCCACGCATAGACCAGTTTTGGTCCTTTGCGGTACCAGACGGAGTTCGGTTACTAGGTACATGAGGAGTAGTCATTGTTTAGTATGCCTGCGCTTGACGCGAATTTTAACAGACTCTGTGGTCTCACTATAGATACTTCTTCCTGTGTATCATAGCGTGGGAACCTCAGATGCTCACAGCGTCGCTTCGCCAATGCGGGACAACTGCACAAGTTGCTCCTGGTGCTTTGCTCTAGGTATTTCCTGCAGTCTTCTCCATTTTCCATTGCCAACGCAAAGAACCACAAATCTCTGCACCATATAGCGGCGGGGCTGATGAGTGAATTATAGAGTTTGGTCTTTGTTCGTCGAAAGAAGACTTCACAATTGCCTACTCAGTCCGAAGTAGCACCCAATGGCAAGAGTTATTCTGCGTTTGATTTCGAGGCTGATATTGTTGTTCGTGTTAATACTGGTTCCAGGATAGACGAAATTATATAGGACTTCGAAGTTATGACTGTCAACAGTGACGAGGGAGCCTAGGGGCGAGTGCGACGACTGTTTGTTTTATGACAGGAGCTATTTCGTCTTGCTCTCGTTCACTACCA